AGTTAAAGGGGCTAGAAGAGCCAGGGGCAGACTGAAAGAGACTTAATGGGAGTAATAAGAAATTATTTAAGCATGCATAATTAAAMAATGGATATGGCACTGAACAAAATAGAATGGCGAAATAGGATTCATATTGCTGACCCCATATAGTTGGGACRAGGCTTAGATGATGGTGAAGGTGAYGATGATGACAAAAAAAGACCCAAATGGAGCCGATATTACATTAAAGTTCCTGGATATAAAACATATATCCTAGGGTAGTTCCCTAGGTTCCATAACCATTTTTCCTTAATAATTATCCATAATTTTCACAAAATAAAAGTACAAACTTTATGTTAAAGTATAGAAAATCAACATATTCATTAGAAGAAAAAGAAAAAAGAAAAGAAAATTCAAAAAACATAAGAGGCTGAACACCTATTTTTTTATAGGAAAAGAAGAAAAGAAAGGGTAGAAGAAGAAGCTGTGGAAGAAGAAAATGTGTTGATCAAACAAAATTTTAAGTTCTTCCTTACCTATTGGTTCAGGTTTTGAAGTCTTTGAAGGTTCAATACAGCATTTAGCAATATCTATGTTAATTAAACCCTAACAAATGAAAATAATAATAAAAAGAAATTAGTATATAAACACACAAAAGGAATATTTTAGTTTAATAATGTCTATTTTATAATTATAATCTGAAAAAATTAAGAATATAAGTATTTTATAACACAATGTACAAAACTGCTTGGCGATTAGACAAGGTGAGCCTAAGGGCGCCATGTTTCCTAGGCGATGCCTAGGCGCCCACCTAGGTATCACCTTGACAACCATGATAACCAAGTCATCAAGTCCACCTCTCACACATTCTCCATTCACAAGATGCACCATAACTTAACCAAGGTCAAACCACAAATACGACAATATAAGGAAACACTCTACAAGAAACATTAACAACTAAAAAATAAATGGCCCTTAGACAAGACAAAGGCTCCACCCTAATCAAAACTTGTAGTTCTTTGAGCATTCTATCAAAAATGTAAAAACACAAATAATCTTGGTGATGGAAAGATTTGGACAAATTAGTAACATATATTGCCAAGTCTTCAACCAAAACAAACCAAACAACCATTTCTATTATTTAATTATCAAATTTGATGTTTTTATAGCCTCAATCGCCAAAAAAAAATATTTGGTGATACCATTGGAGCAAAGTGCACATTGAAGGTAATTCAGAAGCCAATTGTAGAACGAATGGACAGAAAGCATGCAGTTGGGGTGATCCTTGGGTTGGAGTATTCCATTTTTGCCCAGGTAAGCCTATTGAGTTTGCTACTCCCTCCAATTCTGACCTAGCTACATTTGGAACTTGGGTCAAAGAAGGAATCTGAGAGACTTTGAAGTTGTTCCCTTATCTGATCTTTTGCATCTTCTTGATGGGGTATTTCTTGATTCAAGTATGGAGGATGCTTGTATATGGACCCACTCACCCTTCAAGAACCTTATCTTTTTTCAAATCTTTATTTGGCTCCCTTCCTCCCGCGATACCTTTTCCAATTAAGGAAGTTTGGTGCTGTACTATTCCCCCCAAAGTTGATGCTTTCTGTTGGGAAATTTTCCATATTAGCATAAATACTTGTGACTCATTGCAAAAGAAAAGACCTAATTGATGTTTATCTCCTAATTGCTGTATCATGTGTGGATCAAATGGTACTGCCAATCACCTACCTATCTCATGTCCATTTGTCTTATGTATTTGGGGGTGAACTATCCCTGTTAGTTTGGACAAATGTTTGATCCATGAGTTGCATTGCTTTAGACAATCTAAGAAGAAAGGAATGCACATATTTTTTGAGGAAAGTTGGAGAAGCCAGGAGGCTATATTGAAAACATTATGGTGAAAGTAGCACAATGGATAAAGACTTTGGAGCTATTTGCAGATTTCACTACCAATGATGTGATGAGAAAGTGGGGATCTGTGGCGGGATTCTCCCCAAGGATGCAAAGGATGGTGAGAAGTTGGCAACCAATAGCACAAGATTACTATTTTTAGTAAAAATTACTATTTATAGTAAATTTGGTACTTAAAATAATTTCTGAAAGTTTTCTTTATAGAACTCCCATTACTACTATTTATAGTAGTTCTTATAATTACTTCTTTATGGTAAAATCACAACTTACTAATTATAGTAAAATCATATCTAATGGCAGGAACCAGAAGACGATAAATAAATTACAAGCAGGGGGATCAAACTAACAAGATGGTTGACAGAAAACCCAAAATGCCAAACAATAAATATTAACTGAATAAAAGATAACAAGCAAGAACAATAAATAAAAACCATATGAGAAAATTAGATAATCAAGAGATTTAATTAATAAATCTAAAGCTAAAGAACAAATCTGAAGGCACTATCAACATCTTCAACATCATTGGATTTTTCTCCTTGTTGCTCTGGTATTTTCTTGTTTTGATAATCAGAAAGAAGAAAGAAGACAGAAGAAATGAGAAAATAGTCTAAAAATACCACACATGCCTATGTCTCTCTCTAATATTAATAGTCTCATTATTAATATTAGAACTAGCCAAACTTACAAAAAAGAAAGACCCAAATGAGGTGATATTGCATTGAAGTCTCTGAATATAAATGTACTTCATAAAACAATACCATTCCTCATACACGACTACACACTACAGTCTGAATACTTCAACAGTCTTCAACCTGTAAATCTGTCCAACATTCTGATAGAACAAGTTTTAAAGTTTGCACTAGAGCAAGCAGCTCTGATCTAACTGAGTACCCCATGCCAACAGATCCTGAAACGCTTAGTAGGATACTTCCCCCGTTACCTTACAGATCCTCTGATACCTGAATCACCCAAATTGTCTAAGCTGCAGCTGTCAAAGTAATATTCTTTTTACCAACTCTAGTAATATCAACTTGGCACTCCTTTGCTGTATTATAACCAAGAAAAACACACTGAAACAATTCCACCTGTTGTTTTGCTGAATGACCCCTCCAATTCCTGACAGCATTGGATTCTTTAAGCCCTCCAACTTAACATTCATAATATCCAGCTCAACTGGCTGGACTCTGGAATTGCGCACATATATCCTGGACTACCAATTCATATTAACTAGAATCATATCACCTTTTTCTATGAACAATTTGGAGCAGCATCTCATCTAACAGTAACTGTGTGAGTGAGTGAGTGAGTGGGTGAATGAGTGAGACAAACAGAGAGAGGATCCCTCCCTCCTTCCCTCTAAAATTGTATGGTTGGATTTTGAAAGCCACAGCTCTGGCCTCTCATCATGCATAAATCCTCTTATACCAATGCGTGTTAAAACTAATTTGTTAATAATACCTCTCAAGTCTCAATACCAAACCTTTACTCATCGGCATGCCTTACCTGAAATTTTCATAAATTCCGCATCTAGGGAAGTCTTTAATGATGCCAGGAAAGCACAGCATGGCAAACCATAATGCTGAACAGAAAAACGGCTCCTAACAAGGAAATTAATATACAGAGTTACAGACAAGTCTACTTTCATTCCATCCTTGAATGAATTTCACAATTTACATATCCTCTACCACAAAGGTTCTAGTCAAACCCTAACCATAAAAAGCAACATGAAGTAGAGTCATATGCAGTGCAGGTGCAGGAATGGGAGTTGCATGAAAGATCAGTCTGTAAAGTCTTTCAGGTCAGAGGGGCCCAAGAAATGAAAAAAATCTTAAATTAGGAATGGGACCCTAGGTTAATGTTCGCGGAACCATGTGATGCAGAGCCAAGTACAACAAACAAACCTGAGCACAAGCAAACACAAGATGTTTGAATCGCATAAAAACATGTAGAGAATGTAAATATGATAATTGTTAAAAGAAAGCTCAATTTGAACAAGGCAAAATGTCAATAGAAGGCATGTCAACAAAACCAGTTGTAGCTCAAGTAACTTTATTGTCACACTTTTAAACGGTAAGCAGCAAAAAGAACAGAAATTCTCAGCTTGTAACATCTGCTGGTTTTATGGACTGCAACTACTTCCCCATTTCCAAATCCTTTAACAAAACTTGACAGAACAGATATAGAGACTATCACCCATGAGTATAAATTTTTTGTCCATAAATTCCTTAGGACGACCCAAATAAACTGAAATTCACGCACGTAATGTGTTAATCTATTTCCCAGACTGCATCCTCGAGAAGAACGAAATGTGGGTGACTTGTAGGACACAAGGACGAAAAAGGAAGAGCAACATAAGAAGTGGAAATCAAATGCAAAAAAATAGGGCATCAGAGACAGAATGTACCACAACAAGGAAACTCCCCATTGCTTAAGAATCAAATGGATAGTGGATCGTATAAGAACTGCATGAAAACAATGGCCTGTATTTAAATTCTATCAAGAGAGAATAAGTTTCAACCATTTGGTGACTTCATCCATTTCCGAAGCACCCATCTGTCTTTTCTTTGCCCATACTAAATATCTTCATTTATCCAGATTTTACAGAAATCCCAGTCAAATCTTCACCAACACCATCAAGACTGCAATGAAACGATCACGATCACTAAAACCCAAATTCTCACGTCAAAGACCAATTCCTAGATGCAACTGCTCTGGTCTATCCTCAAATGAAACCCACAACCCACGTGATACAAGAAACAGATGCATACGCCTAGGAGCACAAAAATAGAGTTAACAAGGAATCCCAAATCCGCCACCGACTGCCAAAAACCCAAACTCAAATACAATGAAAACAAAAACAAAAATAAACTCTCCATAACTACATTAAACCCACCAAAACCCATCCCGCCAAGTGACACGATCACAATTCACTAATCAGTACAAATGTACAATGTAGATCTACAGATCACAAGTTCAAATTTCAAATGCAGTATAAACAAGCCAAATCGAGTAAAAGTAAACCAAAAAAGCATCAAAATTGCACTCCCAACAGATGAATGTAGTAGGAGAGGAAACAAAACATCAAAAAAGAATCGAAGACCTGAACTAACCTTGAATCATTCAAAACGCCATTACAGTAGAGCATCGAAGTGCAGCTGCGAAGTGAGAAACAACGTGGAATCAACATCGAAGAAAAGCAAAAGACGCCCTTTTTGGATCGACCTACCAATCAAATCAATGAGTCAAACTCGGTCTCTATCTGGTCGATCTTTTTCCCAAATGAATCACCTTTCGAGATCCGACCTCTTCTTCTTCCACGATCCAATTCGAAGAATCCACTCTCCCACCCAGACATGCACAGACTCTCTCTCTCTCTCCCTCCTCCCTCTTTCTCCTTTTACTGTGCCAACTCGTCTTCTTATGTCGCATTAAATTAGCCTCTGACTCAATCACTGATCTGAGAAAAGCCGGCGAGGATGAGGGACCGCCTCGGCTAAAGTACGCTGGGGGAGCTCAGGGATTTCCGGGGCTTCACTTCACCACTCTATACTCGATACGATCATACACCCATAACCTTTTGTCTGTCGCGCATGACCACCGGCACAGATCGAGTGTGATCCAGCCCATTATGGTTATTGGTTAGCACTCAGCTCCCTGGCGTAAGTTAGTCGCCAATCCTCGGAATTAAATTAAATTGTAATTTATTCACAAAAAAACTCCCGTGTCTAACTAATTTCAATTTTCAACTCGTTTGACTGGACTATTCAAAAAAATGCCCCTGTTTTCTCTTAAACTACCAAAGCGCCACTTGAATCGTTTGCCAGGTGTCAACTTTTTTATTAGATAAATAGTTCGATAGTTGCCACGTGTAAACTAGGAATGTTGAGAGTGTCAAGTTATCTAGCTAAACTTTGCAATGACAACTGTACATGTAGGGCCCTCCTGCTGTTATCCACCGTGCAGAAATGCACGTGCCAGTGCAGGTTTAAAGAGGGGAATTATAGTGGGACACGTTGTTGCTTGGTCCCACGTAGGAGATTTCGTGTGCCAACTTGCAAACGGACCGATTTATTTAATAAAAAAACTGCCAAATAAACGAGACATGGACAACACCCAATTATTGCCACCAAGTGGTTATTTCAAGGAGGGCTGGTGATCGGTATCCGATGTACTTTGACACACCCATCTCAGTATTTAATGGGCCCGGTAGATCACCTATCGGTTCGGGTCATTATCATATCCATTTCCCATTTAGGAATCGGATCTGACGTTTGAAAGACATGACGGTCGACGGTAGGATGGCGGATGGGTCTAGGGCCATGTGTTCAACTTTCAACCTTCAAGTACCTGGGCCCACCGATCAACGATTTCTAACCATCTGATTTGGACATTTTTCTTTATTTTATGGAACTTTTTTATGTTTCAAGGAAAATCAGTGTTTTATGACTCGGACCAGACCGGACAATTGGACCAGTCATTGAGCAAAAAACACAACCCAAAGGAAAAATAAATAAATAGTTTTTGACAACTACTTTTCCAAAAATTTGACCCGATTTAGGTAAGACTTGAGTGATGGTATTTTGCTATTTATTATTTATTTTCTAATTTTTATATTATTTTCCGGAGTGGGACGACCAGACCAGTTGACATGTGACCCAATGGCAAAAACGGATCTACAAGCCATCCGGTTCTGAAAACATCAATACAGACTCATCAAACCGGTGAGTCAAGATCCTTGTCCAGTTGTCCTTGTGAGTTTTTTTTTTTTTTTTGAGTAAAGAATTGTCCTTGGGAGTTGAGACAAAGAACACGCGCAGATATCATGGAGCCCCAGAATCATCGATGCTTCCCTTGGGCCCAAGGCCAAGATTTGAACATCCTATGTTCCTTTAGAGAATCCACTTACACTGGTTGGACCCAAATGTCCGAATTTGTATACCCGAACTGGGTCCGAAAAGGGCAAGGAGCTGGTAGCATTTCCATTCACCCTCATTTTGATCATTTCAGCCCGGCCCAGAAATTCCGGGCCCCGGAAATTCTGGGCTTAGGCCTGGGTTTTGTGTTCAGGTCCGGTTTGGGCCCGGGTCCACATCAGGTCCATAAATTTTAGGGCTGGGCTTGGGCTTAATACTTCAAGCTCAGATGGGCCTAGCTCGGCCCACATATATTTAAACTTACACATTTTGTGTATAATGTATACACATGTATATACATGTTATTTTACATTATATTATATATTTTATATATAAATATTATAACATGTCTAATTTATTTTATATATAATATTTTATATTATATGATGTATAAAATAGGTTTACATGCATGTTATGTCATTTTATATATAGATATGTAATGTTTTATATATGAGTGACATTGGCCTGGAATCAGGCCCGAGCCCTCAGGCCCGAGCCCGTATAGACTTGGCTTGGGCTTATGTTTTAGGCCCAAAACCCCGGGTCGGGCCGGCCCAGGCCTAAGCTATAGCCCTTATCATAAGTGTAAAGCCCGTCCCTGATCACCCCTAATCAACAGTCTTAGAGATGTAAATCGCCCATGCTAGGCCAACACAGCACGACTCGCATGCAACCAGCAGCCCATGCAAAGTGCAAGTTGTGCCATGCCGGCCCATGGGCTAAGTCGGGTCGTGCTTCTCTCCCTTGGGATGCTTTGGGGGGTCGGTCCGACACGGCCCATGGCCCAAGCCCACACAGGTCCGTGCCATGCCATGGGTTGGGCTGGTTCATGGGGGAGCCTTGGGCTAGGTCGGGTTACAAAATAGGCCAAGCCATTTTTTTATTTTGAAAAAATAATGAAAGTTTTAACATAAATTAAAAAATAGACAACAAAATAAAAAAAATATATCTTAATTTTTCATTTTGTATGAATTTTGATGTATACAATATTGTTTATACATGCAATAATATAATAAAATTGTACATATATTAATATATTATATAATTATATATATATATATATATATATATATATATATATATATATATATNCAATAATATAATAAAATTGTACATATATTAATATATTATATAATTATATATATATATATATATATATATATATATATATATATATATATATGGGTTGTATTGGGTCATGCCAGCACGCGAGCTGCAAACGGCACGGCCCGCTTAGTCGTGCCTAGATTGTTCATGGGTCGGGTAGCCCGACCCGACCTGGCCCATTATTTTTCAGGCTTGGACAAAGCTTCAGGCCAATGGGCTCGGGCTTTCTCAAATAAGCCCGGCCCGATACTAGTACATATAATAAAAAAAAAAACATTTATGTTATATATAATAAATACATATAATATATATTTGTTTCTTAAATTATTAATAAACATTAATTTACTATTAGGAAATACAAGTTAGTGTATTAATTTATTAAATTATTATTAAATTAATATAATATTATTTTATAAAAAAAGTGCACTAAAAATAAAACATTTTGTATACAAGTCGAGATTCAGGCTTTATATAAGGGTCGGGCTTGGGCTCAAAATTTAGGCCCGATGGTCAGGCTCTGGGCTTGGGCTCAGGCCTGCACATTTTCTATTGATAAAGCGGCTAAGCCCGGCCTAAGCCCAACATGGCTCGCAATCTGTCGTATAGAACCATGCCGGGCCGGCTCAAAATCGCGTCAGGCCAGCACGGCCTAATTTACACGTCTAAGCAGTCTATGAGATTTGAGCTTTTAATGTCCATATTTAGAAAGCTACCAAGCCTCAATTTTAGTATCCGTTTGGGAGGGCGTTTATTGTTGTAATTGCAAAAACAATTATTATCAAACTTTGAAGATACTTTTTGGTTCAATTTTGTTTCTGGCAGTCCTAAGCTCAAAAGCAAAAAATTATCAAAAGGAAGCCGATCCAACAACCCGAATTACCCAATGTTGGTAGAAAGTAAACCAACAGCCCGAATTCCCTTTTTGTTCTTTTATTGGCTTCATTTGAGATCTAACACAGTTGAAGCCGTATGATAATCGGGTTTGGGTCGGACAAATAGGACCCTGGGCTTGGGGCTATAAATTCAATTCAACCCCTGGCATAGATCAGAGATCAGATTGTACCTCATTGCCATCCCTGACCGTTTGACCTCATTGTTTAAATGTGATAGATATCACATAAATAAATTCTGATCATGATCAATAAATGGGTTTGTTAGATTAAATGCTCTTATTAACCAGTATTGACTGCTCTCTTGGTGGAGCAAAAAAGCTTTTGTTTTGATTCAAAGTGATGATGAGGTGACCATATTTATGGTGGCCTTCAGAACTTCAATGATTTCACCAATGTTGCTATATTCTTTCTCTTTGTTAGGATTTGGTGTAGTTGGTCTGCTTTTTTCAAGGTTTGATCACCCAGCCATGGTTGGTCCAGTTCGTTGTACTACCTAGATGGTTACAAATCCATTACGATGTAGCAAGTGATCCAGGTTGGTTTTTGTTGGACAATGATTGATCCATTACACACCATGGTCTCCAAGAATTCGGATTTGCTCTTTACAGATTGTGCCTTACACCAACTTTCCAGTGCTTTTAGTCATGCATTGAACATATTTTGTATTTGATTTTACATTCAAGTTCTATTTGGAAAGAAAAAATACAAATATGTACAATATAAATACATACAAAATAATATAAAATACAAGATTTTGCACTCTACATATTTGTATTTATATTCATTTCAAACTAAGCCTCGATCGTGGGACGATGTTCCCAATGCAAGACTACGATGTACTATGAAGTTGGTGTGAGGCATACTCTGTGAGGAGCAAATCCAATTTCAGTCTCCAACCATATTTATTAAACTTTAAAGAAAAAAACCTAGTCAAGTATTTTTCTCTCATGCTATCCGACGGCCTTCAAAATAGGGTTTAGTTCATATTGTAATGCAACTGGGGAGTATTGTTAGACCTATCTATGTAACTATGTTCTCTTTGTGTTTAGGCATAAGACCAATTGGGAAGAGTCAATGTTGTTTAACAGTTTTCTTGAATTCTTTTTAATCCTAAACTTTACTCCAGGTGCAAGGGCTACCACCTTAAAATTTTATTAAATAACAAATTTCAAAATTCATATAGGGGAGGATGTAACATGCCTTGCCCAAAATTTAAGATAGTACAATCTTTCCCTTACACTCATCCCATCCCAAAGAAAACAAACAAAACAATTAAAAGAATTTAGGGATAAGTGTGAACTCTAGGAAGCTCATGGCCGACTCAAAAAGATGGAGTTGCCACCCATTTTTCAAAGGACATGGGCCCTCGTTTTCATATTTGAAAATTAATTTTATTGCTTTGATAATAACTCTATTCTCTACAAGGAAAAGCACTTAACTAAGAGATTCTAAATCCACAAGGATTGGGAGAGGGAAGGTATTAGACACTCCTCTCTCAAAGATGTTGTAGCAACCCAATTTGGAAGTTGTTCAGACTCCATTTCTAATGAAAGCCAAAAGAAATGGTTGTTGGAATTTCTAAAATCATGAGAAACATACTCTTACGCCCTGTTTAGCATCACTCCAGATAATCATTTCTATCGATTCTTGGAAGTAGAATTATGTTTGGGTTTACCTGTTAAAGAGAATTGATCCATTTTGCGAAGGAATTTCTCATATGAAGG